ATAGGAGAGTTTATTGCAACAATTAACTCACAACAAATGTACCACCGTCGCAATAGTATAATGCAACCACAATGTTATAGTTGTATCATTCTTATTAATCGTTGCACGGGAGTGTATGACACCATTTATTTTATAGTGATTTATGCGACCGTTATAAGGATTTTTGCAACCCCAACATAACATTTTTAACCGCGGTAAGAAATAATTTAACTTTATTTATATAAATTTTTAATAGTATATATATGTAATGTCCACTAAATATAATTTATTCCATCCAAGTGATATAATCTAGTTAATAAGTTAAAAATTAAAAATTAAAAATTTTACCTCTAAATTTGACAAGGTATGTGTCAATTTTTACCTTTAAATTTGAAATTTTATTAAATTAAACCATAGTCGTCTTAGATAAAGATACTACCATCAAGGGAAGTACTTTAAAAATTTAACATCATACTAAAGTTTTAAAAATCAATATAATGTTGTCAATTTTATTATTTTTTTTTACTCCACTTTCTACTTTGAAAATTAATAAAACGAATAACAAGTAATTAATAGATTTAAATTGATTTAGTGGGCACATTTACTTTTAATATCTGGTCTAGGCTTAGTATTCATATTATATGGATACAAATTATTTGTGAAATTTGACCAAATAACAAATTGAACCTTTAAAATTTATATATATGAATCAAAGTAAAATTAATATCAGAAAGTTATGAAATTTTATGACCAACAATTAAAATTAAACCTAAATTATGGACTAAATTGATTATTTAATTTAAAAATGTAATATACCCAGATTAAAAGAGTTAAAAGAAACCAAATTTTTCAAAATTTTTTAAAAATTTTAATATAATTTAATTAATATTATAATTTTAATTTTAAGATTCCAATTTACAGAAATTACAAATGAATTAATTTTTTTAGGTCTAATTTTTTAGTGAGCCCACTCTTTTGAGGAGAGGTCTTTCATGCTATTTCCCTTCGCGTCGTTTCAGAGTCACCCCTTCGCCAATTGCTGCTGACTTTTGTTCGTTGTTTCGCTTGCCAATCACTACTTCCTTCGAGTGTTCCGTCTTTTTTCACTTCACCGTTCGTCAGCACTTCATCAATCTCTATTGTTCTCTATTTCGCTCGCCAATTGCCACCGACCTTTGTTCATCGTTCATGTTCGTGTTCGCCTAACAGTCACAAGAAGAGCCTCTGTTTAAATGTGTGCGTACCCATAATGCCCCTGTTTTTCTCCTCCTTTTTTTTTTTTCCTTTTCTGCTGAAATTGTTCTAAACATGTATTTGTTTTGTGTTTCATGTCTCTGTAATTTGTGTTTTGTGTGTTTGTAATTTGTAATTTTGTAAATTAAAATGGTGAAAGCAACCTGCTTTATAAGGAGTAGTGGTGGGTTTCAGCTCCAAAACTTGTATCCCAACAAACATGAATCTAACACAATTGCAATGTATGTTGGGATTTTTTTTAGTTGTGCAATGACTGTTGGGATTTTTTTAGTTGTCGGATTGTTGAAGTATATTGAATATGTTAGAGTAAATAAACTGCTCTGTATTATTGAATAGAATGAGCCATACATATAGGCTAAGTACAAGTACATCTCTAGTGCATTTAAGTAATTTACCTCTGTAATGTATATCTGTAGTGCATTGATGTTTTTTTTTCTTTACTCATATCCATCTTAATAGTTAGTTTAATGTGTTATACATTATAATGGTGATGATACTAAATTTATGTTTTTGTTTGATAGTACAAAAATGCAATGCTGAGATCTATTGGTTTTGACATTTGGTTTAGTTTTTAGACAAAGTTTCTAATGCTACTTAACTCTTACAATTTATAACCATGACTGTGAATAGAAGGTTCTTATATCGGTTCTTATATCATATTTGTTGATTCTGCTTTTTATTTAACTATTTTCTCAATTCTTTTTAGTTCATCGTTCCTATATTTGAATATTAATTACATACTTTGATATTTAGATTAATCATCTCTGTTTGGGGAAGGGAATACCCTGGACACGTGGAGGACCCCTATTGGTGCTCCAAGATGGCTCATGAGTCATGCCCAGCTCGGATAGCCGAGATGGCCGCCACTAACGTCGACAAATGCTAAGTATGAGGGCCGAGGTGAACCTGGCCCAGCTCTGACCTACCGGGGAGCTCGGTAGGGGCTGATGTGAGCAACTGTCTGCGGCGTGATTATCGGGCGTAACCGTCGGTCCCGAGATTACCGGGTGTAACCGACGGTCCCGAGATTACCGAATGTAACCGTCGCGAGATTAGCAGGACTACCACCCATAAGTAGAGGACCTCACTCNTACCGGGTGTAACCGACGGTCCCGAGATTACCGAATGTAACCGTCGCGAGATTAGCAGGACTACCACCCATAAGTAGAGGACCTCACTCCCCGATCAGGTACGACGATTTCTGGCCTCAAACTAAACTTGGAATCCGACCTATACTGACTTGATCGTCGGAGTGCTCACCTTTTTGTGCAGGTCCGCCCAAGTGTTCAGGTCGGCCCGGAGGCCGAGTTCGAGCTACAATCGGGAACACACTGTTGTGCATATCCTTGCATAAACAACCATATTAATATGTTAATATGTTATGTATAACGGTAATAGATAGAAGAACTTGGAAGAAATCCCACTAGAGTAGAAGTCTTTCTAGCAGCTCATAAACGAAAAGATGGTAGTTATATAGATGAAGAAACTGCTCGACTTGCGGTAAGGCGAATGTTAAATTTCATGTTTTTTTAACTTTATATGTTATTGATTTCAATGTATTGCTTCGTATGAGAATTTGCAAGAATATATGAATGAAAATGGAAATAACTCAGATGCATTTGAGCAAGTCATGGGTAAAGAACGTTCAGGACGTGTTCGTGCAATGAGATTAGGACCTACTCCAACTGAGCTATTTAAGACAACATTTGATCAATTTGTTGGGGTTGAGATCATTTCTGAGGATGGTACAGAATACCATAAAGCAGGAGAATCTAGATTGACTAAATTAGAGTCAGAAGTGGCAGGTATGCGTTCTGATAGGAAAACGATGCTTTCACTCTTGGAAGAAAATAATTTTGTACAAGTTGCTAGTACCAGTGGACATTTTTGAAAGGTGGTTCACAATAGGTATATTATAGTACTATTAGTATATTATAGTATTATAATTTAAATATTCTTGATGTCATTTTAATTCTTTATTTTAATTTGTGCACAGGACCAAGGAGCCAATGCATCAGGAAACAACATACCAAGGACAAGTTCGCATGAGTCTCTTTAGCATAATTTAAACTTAAAAGACTTATTGGTGACAAATAGTTTGCTTTCATTTATTTAATGATGTGGGGTATATTTAGTACAAGCTCATTTGATACTTGATAGAATTTTATTATATTTGATTTGCAACTTTACTTATTTCAATTTATAACTTTCTTAATTATTCCTGTACTTCAATGTTTTGATATTCAATATTGTCGAAGATATTGGTTTAGATACTACAATAGTCTATTTTAGCTAATTGTTCAAAACAAGAAAAAAAAATTGTTTAAAGAAAGACAAATTATCAAAATAAATTATTGAAATTCATTCCAAAATGTTCTTATTTGAATATGCAGGAGAATCTCCTACATATTCAAATCATGTTCTAAAAAAAGTGTTGCAATAAACAAAATTGTTGCAGTATACTTGAATAAACTTTTGCATCAGATTTTAAAGATTTGTGACTAGAAAGTGTTGCAACATAGTATAGGTCACCACAACTATTGCAACATTTAAAAAATGCTTCTAATGTTGCTATAAATTGTTGCAAAGTAGCAGCGATCGACAAATTGCTACAACAAAGGTCAAAAACCACGGCAAACAAGCAACTATTGCAGTGGATATCTAATGCTCGTTGTGCTCTAGAACCGCTGCAGGGTACCAGCCGTCTGCGAAATGCTACTAAATGGTCTAAAAAAGTGTTGCTATATGATCCTAAAGTGTTGCTATAATATAAACAATTGTAGTGGTTATTATAGAGTTCCAGCAGTTAATAAACTGTCGTAACGGTTTAGGGATGTTGAAAGTAGAAAAAATGATTCAATTTCTTTAGATAAATAAGTTTGAGAATTGGTCGTGCAACTCCCTTAGAATCTGCAATAAATAGGTAAAAAAACCCACAAAACCTCAATTTTTTTGCAGAGAAAAAAACGTGCAAAATAAACCTGAAAATTTCGTGTAAAATGTTCCAAAAACTTTGAAATTCCAATAGAGAAAACAAGTAAGTAACCTATATAGAAAATATATGTGGGTTTACTCGTCGATTGAGAGTGAAAATGAGGAAGACAAATGGGTAGTGGTGGTTGATTTTTAGAGATAGATTGAGATGAAGAAGGGGAGCTAGGTTTCAATGGTAAAACATGAGAGAGAAAGTGTTTTCTTAATGAGACCAGGAAAAAGAAATATTTGCTTTCACACTTCTTCCCTCTATTTTCTGTTCTTTGCTCTGCTCTCTGTTTTGTGCTTTGTGTTATCTGCCTCTCTTAAATACAAAAAGTACAACAGGTCAAAAAAAATTAGAGAAGAGAGGGAGTGTCACGGTACTGGACTTTGATCAGAAAATAAAACACAAAATATTTTTATTTAAGAAAATAAATCTTTTTTTATATATAAAAATAATAAATCAAATTCTTTAAAAATAAAATCTACTTTTCTTTAAATTAATTAAACTTTACCTTAAAAATAATAATAAATAATAAAGTAAACTTTAATTTTTCCTTTAAAAAAATAATAATTAAGAAATAAAAAATAAATTAAATTAAGATATAAAAATAAAATAAAATAGAATCAGATCTCTCTACTTATGCTATTCCTAAACTCATTAGTTGTAGATCTATTAAATCATGGAGGATTTTATTTATTTATTTTTTTAAGGGAAATCACGAAAGATTCTTTAGATTCGAAGGGGTTCATCAAAGAAGAAAAGAGGGAAGAAAATTGGTTAATAATTTTCACTTAATAAAATTTTCTTGTTTTAATTTTTAATTCACTTTCCCTCATGTTACCAACTGCCCCACTGGCCACTCTCTCTTCTCGTTACTCATTACGCCAATCTCCTCTCCTCTCCTCGGCGGCGCAACATCCACCCAATCCAGCAAACCCGACGGCGATTGAGACTCAGTCCGGCGACACCCACGCCGGCGACAACGACGACGAATAGCCAACGACCATCTACGAACAGCGTTTTGTAAGTGTATGTTTTTCTGAGTGGATTGCTTGCTGAAATTTGAGGATTTCTGGACTGCTCATGTTGGCTGAAAATTAAAAATTATTGGACTGTTTTGTAAGTGTATATTTTTATGAAATTTGGGTATTATCCGGAGATTATGTTGCGTTAAAATTTGTGGATTTTTGGATTCTTCTTATGAGTTTTTTTTTTGGCTGGAATTTTAGGATTCCTAGATTATTTTTATGACTTTATATTTGTTGAAATTTGGAGATTATTGGATTGTAATGAGCCTATGTTTATGGAATGTGGTGGGTATTTAAAGTTTATAATTCTAAAATTTTGTGGATATTTGAGGTTTAAAATTCGTCGGTAATTTTGGAAGTAATCCTATATGCTTTGATTTTATATTTTAAAATAAAATGATGAATAAAAGAGGGTGGAGCAATGTGCTTTTAACTACACGAAAATCCTAAAATAATGTGCTTTCATGGAGTTCTGGCTCCCGAAAATTCTCAAATAGTATGTTTTCGTGGAGTTTCAGCTCCTGTGCAATTTCTAAAAACCATCTTAAATTAAATCTGCCAAATAAAAGTTTTAAATAAAAAAAATATATAATTTTCGCCCACTTTTGTAATTTAATTCATCAATGGAATTGTTTTTTAAAAAGTAAAAGAAAAAGAAAAATAAAAATAAACAAAGTTTTAGAAGAAAATATATGAAGTTTTGAAAATAATTCTTTTTTAATAAAAATAAGAGAAAATAAACAGTAGTTTTCTGTGATGTGTATTACTGTATAGTTATAAATAAAATAAAACAAACCCATTTGGTACCCAACAATCAATTTACAGCCAAATTCTGTTCTGGCTTATTATAATTGCTAGTAGATCTAATGGATATTGTTCAATGATTAATGCTTGATGTTTGGGTAAAAGCATTGATTGATTATGTTTAATATGAAGCATAATGGCATGGTCATGGTTTAGTATATTGAAATGAACTTGTTTAATAGTATTTGCTTTTGTGGGTTATGTAGCATGTTGGATTATTGAGAGATAAATGGTGCATTTTCATGACTTAGAAAACATATTATAGGGTGCATATGTGAGCTGTTATGAAGTAAATGGGTGAATATTAGGGTCTAGGTCGATTTATCACTATTGGGTATTAAGGTCTCGGGTTCAAATGGTCAATGGTTGAGGCTTTGAGTCTAGCTGGAAGGGGCACTATTGGGACCTAAGGTATAAATTGTCATTGGTTGTGGGGGTTTGAGATGTGAGTTATGATATTGAAAAAATTGATGGGTGAGCAGGACCTTGGGTGAAATAGTAAGGGCCAATACATAACTATTGGGTATCGAGATCTCGAGTAAAAATGGACGGAGGTCAATACGTCAGTCTTGGATAAGATGAGTGTCAATGTCTCAAATAAAAAGGGTGAGGGTAGATGCGATGACTTTAGCTGAGAGGCAAATATTAGGATCTTGGATTTGAATGGTCAAGGGTCGATGTGGTTCGAGGTGTTGAATAAAAATGGTCAGGGTGGTCGAACGCTAGTTCTTTAGAGAAGTGTCGAGACCATGAATAAAAATTTTCAGGATCGATGTGACTCGAAAGATTAAGGCGGGGAGGAATAAGAAGAAATTGAAAAAAGTTTGAAAGAGTTAGAGACTCTAGTGAAAATTATGACGAGAGAATCTATCATTGAGTTTGTTGACAAGTCCAAAAAGTATGATCTCGCGAAAGCTGAAATTCTCAATATCATTAACTTGCGGCCAATTACTCCGGTTGAGATATTTCCGGTATTTTCCCCCTTTCTTTCTCCCTTCCATGACAGTAATTCTTCACTTTATTTTCTTCGTTTATTTTACATATTAATTCTATGCTGTTCCACCATGTTTATATTTTGTGTGTGATCTCTGTTCTAAACTCATATTTCCTTTTCCCATGTGGATGAGGCCATTTGTTTTTCATTGGTGCCTTTAGATTTTTAGAAGAGTGTTTACATGATATAGGAAGTCAAATATCAAATGTTAATTTGCAGTTTTATTGTTTTGTAATAGAATTATGTAGTCTTTGTGGCATTTCCCCTTTTTTGTTGACATTCCAAAAGCCCTAAATTCTCTAGGTATGGAGCACATTTGTCTGGTTATTAAGAACTTGGTGGAGTGGATGTCATAAATTGTTGTTGAGGTTCAACTTGGGTATTTGGCTGGAGAGGAACACTAGAATTTTCAGGGGTGGAAAAATTTGTGGACTCTGTTTGGGATCTTATTAGGTTTAGTACTTCTTTGTGGGGTTCGGTCTCTAAGGCGTTTTGTAATTATCAGCTAGGTGGTATTCTTTTGGATTGGGCTATTTTCGCTCGTAGGGCTGTTTTTTTTGTATGCTCTTCTTGTTCTTTTCATTTTTCTAAGTGAAAACGTGATTTCTTATTAAAAAAAAATATTAAGGTTCAACTGTAGTCATCTTAATAAGTTAAACTTAAAGCTATGAGACTTGGGCTTTCGGAGAGGCTTTTTTGGCATAGAGGTAGACGGTTGAGGCTAGTGCAGAAGCTGGATACTACGAAATTAGGGGAGGGCGTATTCCTTTCAAATAATGTTTATTAGTTTGGCTTTCAGCTTGGGGCAGTTTTCATCAGCTTCAAAAAAAGCAGACTTAGCAGTTTCATCACCAACAAGAATACACCTCCTCCTCTGTTGACTCACACACATTGGACTTTGACATGGTCGATGTATGGGCGATGAGAAAGGGGTTGTTCTGAAGCATATGTACTCCTTGTACATCTTGGTTGTAAAAAATGATTGGAACGGTAGGCATTTTAGAGTACGAGATATGTACTCTGTGCCTTGCCTCTCTGACCAAGGCCTTCCGTTTATGGAACTGTGCTTCGAGAGAAATTTTGTGGAATCTTTGGCTTGAAAAAGATCTCATTTGAAGGTAAGTCGTCATCTTTTGATTCGTTCCGTAACAGTGTACATACCTTTGTCTCTTGGTGGTGCCATGAAAATAGAAAATTCTTTTGTGACCTCTCTATATGGATATGTAGGATTGGAGAGCCATTCTTTTGGGGGTTCATCCCCGCCCTTAAGCTGTTCTTTTTGTTCTTTTCTTTGCTGAATGACGTATTTTCTTATCCAAAACCATTAAGGTGTAACATTAACTGTGATTCATTACTTTTGTTTTTAGATTATAGAGGACAGTGATGTTCGCATGGGAGATGATGGAATTCAAGAGCTTACAGAGATGGTGGAGCAGGTGTTTCCTCCGCCTCAAACTCAACCAAAGTAAGGCAAAGAGGCCGAAGGCATGGAGGAACAGGAAGTCGGAGAGCCTGCCGATGGAGAACCAATGGAAGAAACTACTTGAACCCAGTTCGAAAATTAGATGATATATCGGTACATAACAATTCTCAGCGTTCAGAAGAGCTTTCACAAAGGACTTGGTTCTGTTCTGCATCCTTCAAGCATTAAGTACTCATAATGTGCAGATATGGGTTTTGAGATGCAAGATGAAACTGAGAGTGACAGTTCCCAAAAAAAATAAAATGGGAAATCAAAGTCAAAGAGAGCTTTTGGGTGTTAAAGTTAAACAATGGAAATAGCTAGGCTTCTTTCTAAATGTAATCTAATATTTTTAGGTAGGGAAGAAAGATGAAGCCGAGATTTTTGTTTCCCTGGGTTACTCCCATTTCCTCAAAGCTAGCAGAGGCCACACACATAGGCAGTAGTATGTATAAGTTTGCAAAAGGTCGTGACTCGGAATGGTCATGAATTTGAATCTTTACTTCATATGTTCTACTGGAAAAATCAATATGCATCATCGATTAACTTAACTTACTCATCGATCAATTTTAACAATTCATTCATGTCCCTGTTTGTCTCTAAGATTTTAAAATACATTTTAGTTTTTAAAAGTTTGAATCATTTTGATTCTTGAGCATTTTTTACTGCTAATGGACTTAATAAAAAACTGATGGCAATAAATTGGTGATTGGACTTTTCTAACTTACTATTTTAAATGACTTCATAAGAAAAATATTAAATTTTTAACAATTTTACTGTCTCGTTTTCTTGTTCTCCTCATCTTCTCGCTACCGATGGAGTAAATGGGTAGTTTGGTGGAATCTTGCTGTTCGAGTTTTGGGAAGCGAAGGCTGCCATGGATGACTTGAAAGTCGAGTTGGAGAGGAGTTTGATGGAGGGTGGGGGTGAAGAAGTTGAAAATGAAGAGAAGATTAAGAGGTCGAAGAGTGGTTTGAGTCGTTAAGGAGTGGGGTGGACGCCATTATTGGGCAGTTCGACAATTTCTTCAACGAGACTGTTAAGGAAAGGAATATTAGCTATTATGAATTATATAACATTATAAAATAATAATATATAAAATTTATAATATGATCTAATATTATTTTAGATTAAATTAAATATTTAGTTGGTAATTACTCTTCATTTACAAATATATTGCTAAATACATGTTGAATATTTTTCTTAAAATTGTGATTCAATTTTCAAATCTACCACTAAACACATTGAATACAAATGATACAATGTGTAACCGCAGCAGTGACAAGAAGATGGAGAGAAATGAGAGAGAAAAAGAATGGAGGAAGAAATAAAATGTTACATTAGAAAAATTATGTGAAAAGTAATTTTCTTTACAACTAATTTAAAAATAGAAGTTAGAAAAGTTGAGTTACTTAACGACATTTTTCCATTAAGGACAATTAATTTGGGAATTGTGAGAGATAGCTTATATTGCTTAGCGTTGGCTGTCTAGGAAGGTAGCACGCTTTCAAATGCAGAGGAGCTATTATCGTCCAACTTCCAGTGAAGTGGTGAACTGTTTCTGAGAGACGAAATCGTTTTACCGAGTTTACAAGGTGAAGGAGCGATGAAGCTCTTTCTTTCTTTGTAGTGTGCCCTTCCTATTTTGAGTGGGTACTCACAAGGTTAATTAGCTGTCAAATAATGTTGAACAACTTTTCAAGTTAATTAGCTGTAAAAAAGAATGTTGAACAACTTTTCAAGTGTCTATTTTGAAACTTCTGTACCAAATAGATATCCATTTCAAATTTTATGACCAAATTGAAACATACTCCAAATCTTAGAAACCAAAAATATATTTTTTCCAATCTGTTATAGTAGCATAATTTTCAAACATTTTACCTTTCCAAAAATTTTTTTTAAACATTTTAGGTTAACCTTAAATTTTGCATTCAAATTAACTTTACAATAAATAGATTTTATTTTGTTTTTATTTATTTATTTATTTTTAACTTTAAACATAACTCAAATGGTTAAACATCTATACCTCTCCTTGGTCGTTGTAAATTAGAATTTTCTTAGTTGAAAATATGTGTCCATTAGATCAATGATATTGACATCAACACTTGTCTATATGTTATTCAACACTTGTTTAAAATTACCATTGAGGGAAAGAGGGTGGAGATTTCAAGAGTTAAGAAAGAGATGAATGACATTGCCATCAAAGTAGGAGTGAAAATGTTTAAATTAAAATGACAAAATGGGGAGAGAAAGTTTCTCTCCAACCACTTTTATGTATATAGTGTGCTATTATGTATACAGTGTGCTACACGTGCATTGCTCGAAGTAATTTTAACTTAATTAATTTTATAATAAAAAATCACTAATGGTAAAAAAACAATAATAAACAAAGAAAAAAAATTAAAATGTGTATCTATTCAAACTTTATAAATAAATAAATAAACATATATATATATACACATTGTTTTCCATTAAGGATTTGGCCCAATATTTTGTCTGTTTTTCATTTCAAGTTTTCTATGAATTTTAAAATTATCACTTTGTTTCCATATCAAGGCTTAATCCAACTAAATTCATAGCGTCTACCGATTTTACCAGGATAAACATACTTAAGATTAGTATCTTATTATTGCAAGATAAACATACTTAGCTTCAAAATCAAATTGTAACATCTGAAGTCTATAATTCATAGACTGACTCATGTATCATATTTCTTTGCACACACCATCGTAAATTGCTTTTGAGTTTATGGATACTGAAAAAATGAAGGAAATGAGAGAGAATAAAAATAGACAAAGTAGAACCGGACTCATATTGTGAGTAAAGCAACGAGAACGAACTCTTTTTCATAATAAGAGAATAAAATAGTAACAAAAAAAATCAAATCCCAACTATACACTCATAGGTACATCCAACCTCATAAAATTGTAAAACGGTAACGTTGCAAGCCTGGTATTCGAGATATATAGATTTGACACGTGCATCCTTTGAAACTTAACATCTTGAGATGCTTTCGAGATTGAATAATCTTTGAGAGGTGTTTTTATCAGAAAACTAAAAGTAAAGTAGTGAAAAGTGTCCTGGAAAAAATGGTGGAATAAACCTAGAGAATAAAAAGTTACAAAATCTTTTGAAATTAAATTCTAGTATGAATTACAATTAAAGAAAAAATTAATTTTATGTTGTAGGAAAACTTTTTGCATTCTAACATTTTAAATCCTATACATTTATTAGTATTCATAATTAAAGAAAAAAAATTAATTTTATATTGTAGGAAAACTTTTTGCATTCTAACCTTTTAAATTCTATAAATTTATTTGTATTAATAATTAATAATTAATAATTAATTTATACATAATGTATTAATGGCATAGTTTGTAAATTAGTAAATTTAGTAAGAGACAAAAGTGTCCAAAAATATTTTTCCTACATTCCTCATTTTTAATATAGTATAGATATAGATTGTAAAACAGCCGCAAAACTAGCTTAATATTCGAGATATATAGATTTGACATGTGTATCTTTCGCAACTTAATGAATATGTCATCAACATCTAGAGATATTTTAGTGTTGTGGAAAAAATGGTAGAGGAAAGCCTATTTTTATAGCGGTAGGGAATAAAAAGTTACAAAAGCTTTTGAAATTCTAAAACTCTTCAAATTCTACTATGAATTACAATTAAAGAAAAAATTAATTTTATGGGGTAGAAAACTTCTTGCATTCTAACCCTTTAAATCCTATACATTTATTACTATCGATAATTAAAGAAAAAAAAATTAAATCCTATACCTTTATTAGTATCGATAATTAAAGAAAAAAAATTAATTTTATGTTGTAGGAAAACTTTTTGTATTCCAACTTTTTAAATTCTATAAATTTATTGTATCTAAAATTATTTAACTTTTAACACATTTGGACAAAATATTATTAAGTATTCTAAATTAAATTTAAAATTGATATGTTATTTTATTTTATTAGTAAAATGTTTTTTCTTCTATCAAGTTAAAAAAATTAGATTAATTTAATGAAGGTTGAGTTTGATCTTTTAAAATAAAAAACCCTATCAAAAGATGAATTTTGGTTAGGATATACAAATATTTTTGAAATCTAAGTTTAAGAAAATATTAATAAATAGAACATCTTGTTTAGAAACATAAAACTAAAAATTGAGTTTTGATATCTAAAATTATTCTATATATAACTTTAGTTAAATAGATTTTTAAATACTTCTAATTTTTACTTCTAATTTATATTTATGTCATTGTTGGAGTTGTTCTTAAACTATTAGGATGTGGGCAAAATAAGTGTAATGCTGTGTATTTTATTTTTGATTGATAGTAGTTTTTAAAGTTTTTAAATATGGAGAATATGTTGGTTAATGGATTTTCTCAATAAGACATTTAAGAAAACCCTTCATCCTAATATTTGCTATTAAATATGTATATCAAAGTAGGTTAAATCAATGATACTAATCACGGATGTCAATTAAAACTGAACCAAATCAATTAAGGATGTTTCAATTTACCTGTGACATATATTATATTGATCAAATTAATATAATTATACATATTAAATTACAAGTTTAATCCATCTAAAAAAATTACAAATTTAATCATTCAACTTTTAAAATTTTATTTAATACGTTATTAAATTTAAAAATAACTGTTAGTACTTTCAATAGCTTTTAAAATTATTATCTTATGGATCCTTAAAACTTTTAAAGTATTAATAGATTCTATTAGACACAAAATTAAATATTTAAAAAATTATTAAATATTTTCTAGAGTTCAATCAATTATTAGACGTGCCTTTAAGAAAAAATAATAAGACTGAATTAGAAAATTTAATGAATTATTTATTATTATTTGTCACAAACTTCGAAATAATCACACTTACATTCATGCTATGAGTATACATTCATCTACGGCTATAAGTATTTTATTTTATCTTTTAGCTATGTAATTTACTAATCTCCTCCCCTAAAAGTATTCTATAATACTAACAACAACTTTCAAAAAATATTCTAGATGAGTCGGAGTGACCTCGTGTTATTGGTTCTGAAAACTTATTTTAGTGTTGTTTATTTTGTTGTAAAAAAATTATATATATGTATATATATTCTAGTTGTAGACATTTAAGTATTATTATTATTATTATAAAAAATAAAATATTTATAGTATCTATTAATTTTAACAGAAAATGAAAATTAATTTTTTTTCTATTACATTTTGCTACTCTAGGTTTAGTATTAATCCCACATAAAAGTACCATAAAAACTAACGTAAATTTTATCCGTTTCATTTATTTATTTATTTATTTTTAATTTTTTTACGTCAAGTTATTTTTTCTTCATATTATTCTAAGCTTA